CCGCTGTACAGTAGGTTACAAGTGGGTCACTGTATAATGGATAGTATTAAATTTGAATTCAATGATATAATATCATTGTATAAGAAAAACAATTCTGAGAGGAGACGGTATGTCAGTCTAAGTATAAGGCATATTATTTTCTTATCTATCGTATTAAAAAAAATTTACCTATAATAAATTCCAAATTAATCATATCACAATATCCATTAGGTACTTATAATGCGTTATACGTCAACAACAAACCCTGATACTATCACAGTCCATACTCCATAGGTATATAATAGTGTACTTTAGAAGTTTCAAGTACCCACGAATAATATTACACAATCACAAAAAAATAACTAAAATAGTTATTCTAGGTTTTTTTATGTAATTTTATCCAAAGTTGAACTTAAAATGACTATAAAAATAAACTGTGCTTATGTATTTTTTAGATTTTTTGGTAACAGAATTAATTACAATGGTGAAATCATGTTTTAAATTTTCAATCCTTAGATATAAAAGTTGAACATTTTATACATTTTTAACTACAAAATAATTATTCAATTTTAAATTTGATAAATTTTGTCAAAATTCGATCTTTAAATGCTTATAAATTGTGCAGCCATGTATTTTTAATATTTTTCAACTGATATTGTAACAATATATCAGGAGCCTTATATTAAATTTTTACACTTTTTGGCATAACAGATAAAACATTATTGATATTTATAGAAAAAAAAAACTAAAAAAATTGAAAACTGAAAATGTCCGTAAATAGCTCAAAAAGAGTCAAAATATTTTTGCTGTATACCTAACCTGCGCTGTACATTAGGTTACAACTTACAAGTGGGGGTCGCTGTAATGGATGGTATTAAATTTGAATTTATAATTATATATAATATCATTGTATAAGAAAAACAATTATTTTCAAAATTGTACATTGTATAGGAAATGCTAATATGAACATTCAGTGAAATTTTCATTTATCTACAGTTATTTGTTTTTGAATTACAACAAAATAAGGAAATCGCTACATGAGAAATCGAGTGAATATCCAATGTTGTAAAAATTTGAATTTCAAAGGCTCATAAAAATTTAATTTAACTTTCCGGTAGAGATTTTTTTATTGATAAAGGTAGACAAACTTATGAGTAATCTTGTATTACATTTTCAAATCTTAGATTTAAAAAGAAAACTTTTACGAATTCTTAACTCAAAATAATTTTCTATATTTCGTGATTTTTCCATATTTTGTCAATTTTTGAACTTTAAATGCTTATAAAAGAAAATTGTGACTAACTATTTTTAATATTTTTCATCTTTCTTTAAACAATATACTAGGAGCCTTATAATACATTTTCAAGCTTTCTAAGCTAACAAATAAAATTTTATTGATATTTTTAGAATAAAAACTAAAAAAAAAAATGGAAAATTAAAATGTCCCTAAACAGTTCAAAACAAATCATAATATTTTAAAAATTTTATCGTGTATAGAAAATGCAAATATAAGCAACCAGTGAAAATTTCATGTATTTACGTTCATTTGTTTTAGAGTTACACCAAAAACCAAAATCGATTTTTTGGAAAACAGATTTTGAGTAAAAATTTCCGTTATTCCTTAATTTTTATGTATTTAATCCCGGCGCTTGTGAAAACTATTGGGAATTTTAAAATTTTACCTCTCGAATGCACCAACTAGATTCACTTTCCAATCGAACAAGATACTGAAGTTGAAAATCGAAGCATTATTTCGACTACCTATCGTGTACACACACAAAAATAAATCAAAAAAAGGTGGGCAAGTGGGTGTCGCTCTGCTGTACAGTAGGTTACAAGTGGGTCACTGTATAATGGATGGTATTAAATTTGAATTCAATGATATAATATCATTGTATAAGAAAAACGATTCTGAGCGGAGACGGTATGTCAGTCTATGTATAAGACATATTATATACATATCTATGGTATTAAACAAAAAATTGACCTATAATAGGTACCTATAATAAATTCCAAATTAATCATATCACGATATCCATTAGATACTTATAACGCATTATACAACAACAAAAACCGTGATACTATCATAGATATATAATAGTACACTTTAGAAGTTTCAAGTACCCACGAATAATATTATTCAATCACAACAAAATAACTAAAATAGTTATTCTAGGTTTTTTAATATGTAATTTCGTCCAAATTTGAAATTAAAATGTCTGTAAAAAATAAGTGTGTTTATATATTTTTTAGATTTTTTGGTTACAGTATGAATTATTTAAGAGAATCTTTGTTTTAAATTTTCAACTCTTAGTTATAAAAACTGAACATTTTATAATTTTTTAATTCCAACGATTGATTATTTTCGAGATTTTGATAAATTTTGTCAAAATTCCAACTTTAAATGCTTATAAAAAAAAATCGTGCTTATGTATTTTTAAAATTTTTCAACTGATATTGTAACAATATATAAGAAAGCTTGTATTCAATTTTCAGACTTTTTGGCCCACCAAATAAAATTTTATTTACAATTATAAAAAAAAAAACTAAAAAAATTGAAAACTGAAAATGTCCCTAAACAGCTCAAAAAGAGTCAAAATATTTTCAAAATTGTATGGTGTATAGAAAATGCTAATTTAAACATTCAGTGAAATTTTCATGTATCTACAGTTGTTCGTTTTTGAATTACAACAAACTAAGGAAATCGCTACATGACAAATCGAGTGAATATCCAATGTTGTAAAAATTTTAATTTCAAACGCTCATAAAAATTTAACTTGACTGTCCGGTAGAGATTTTTTTATTGATAAAGGTAGATAATCTTATAAGGAATCTTGTGTTTCATTTTCAAATCTTAGATTTAAAAAGAAAAATTTTTACGAATTCTTAACTCAAAATAATTTGCTAATTTTCGTGATTTTTCCATATTTTGTCAATTTTTGAACTTTAAATGCTTATAAAAAAAAATTGTGACTAAGGATTTTTAATATTTTTCATCTGCCTTTGAAACAACATGTTAGGAGCCTTCTATTAAATTTTCAAGCTTTCGCAACCAACAAATAACATTTTATTGATATTTCTAGAAAAAAAACTAAAAAAAAATGAAAAATGAAAATGTCCCTAAACAGTTCAAAATAAATCAAAATATTTTGAAAATGTTATCGTGTATAGAAAATGCAAATATAAACAACCAGTGAAAATTTCATGTATCTAAGATCATTTGTTTTAAAGTTACACCAAAAACCAAATTCGATTTTTTGGAAAATCGATTTTGCGTAAAAATTCCCGTTTTTCCTTAATTTTTATGTTGTTTTTCCCGGCGCTTGTGAAAACTACTGGAAAATGTTTACTTTTGACCCCCCAAAGTACCAACTAGATTCACTTTCCTATCAGAAAAGGTACTATTGAAGAAAATCGAAGCATTTTTACTGTCCCAAAACGTGATGACAGACACAAAAATATAAATAAAAATATAAAAACATACATCATTGTAAAACCAATACATTCATCGCTCCGCTCAGAATCTAAAATTTAAAAAAAAAACACACATTGTAAAATCAATACATTCATCGTTCCACTCAGAAACTAAAATTCATTTATACTATATGTGTGTTTATTTAAGTGTCCAACTACTCAAGATCTGAAAAGAGGCCAATTTGATCAGAAAATATTAACCGTGGGTCAGCTGACCTCCTGAACCCTCCCCTAGATCCGCCCCTGAAAAATAGTATATCATCAGGAACGTTTTTTCCCTGACTCTTCGTGCCATAAAAAGCTTCGTTTCAAAAATGCAAACAAAAAAAAAATGTAAAAATGATTTATATATATATCAAAAAATGACCACAGAAATACCAAAAATTACTTAAAATGACAAACTTTTTAAAAATTTAAGTTTTTAATATTTACGTTTTATACAATTTATGGGTCATAAATCGTATTTATTATAGGTTCTAGCTCTTTAAAAATATTTTTTATAAAGTTTGAAATAATTCGATCGACTTTTAGGATATTTTTTCTAATTGACCTAAAATAATATCGGTCTACAGTTTATTAAATAATCAAAGACTGGGACAACAAATGATAAAGATAATGAAAGTCAATAATCGACAAGCTAATGGAAACTGAATGTGTTACAATAAAATGTAACTTTCAACAAGAAAAATGCAAATAAATTAAAAAAAAAATTACAAAAATGAATAAAATGCACCAAAAATACTAAAAAATGACCTTATAGCAATACATTCCCTAAAAATTCAAAAAATGAAAAATAGAAATTGTACCATTAAATTCTATATTGTATGAACTATGAATCAAGTTTCTCTAAAGACAAGCCTCGTAGTTAAACATTAGAAAAAAAAGATACAAATGCATCAAGTTCTGGGCCCTAATTATAATAAATAGTATTTTGAATCCACAGTAACATGGACTGTTTTATCATGTGTTGCTTTGTGAATATCTTAGTTTTTTAAACTTAGCAATTTTTTTTTTTTTTTGAAAGTGGCAAAACTTATATTGTTACAGCAGCAGTAATTTACAGACCTGATGGAGTGGATTTGAATTTTATAACAAGCAGTGTCTGAGAAAAGAAACATTTAACTGTATTATGTTATTTTATACACTCGTATTATACTATATTAATTTTTACACACTGATTTAATATTTATTAAGTATTTCTTATTTTAAAAATTGTTATTGGGTATATTACTCACAAATATAACATTTTACTGACTTTTAATGTATTATACTATGCTAGTACAATTTACAAAATATAAAATAACAAATCACAATAAAGATATTTTTTTTTAAAGAAATACCTTTTAATACACTTCAATCAGAATTTAATTTAATACATTTTATATATATATAATATTTTATAATATTTAAAGTTATTTTCAGATAAACAACTTATAATTACATTTGCACAGTATTATTAACGCACAAACCTAATGCACATTTCATATGTGGAAAAATACATACAATGATAAGTTATAAAATAATCTTAAACTATAAATTATGATAAATTAAGGAGGCATGACTTTGGGAATGGGCATAGAAGCTGGCATAATTCCATTTGTGCCATTAGTTTGTGCTTGTCCAATGTTCGATGCACCAGATTTATTCATCATATTCATATTGTGCTCATATGCAGTATGAATCAATTTGGTTCTCCGTCTAGTGTAATGTTGCCAAATCAATAACAACTGATCATCAATAAATTTCGAACAAATAGCGGTAGCTATTTCTTTTCTAAATGGTTCATGCTGTAAAAGATCTAAAAAATACAAACACATAGGATACCTGTAAAAAATAAAAAAATATTTGTGAGTACACTTAAAGTAATTTAATAAAAGTAGATATTTTTACTTCATCATGTAATGATTTTATATTCAGTATTAAATTTAATAAATGTTAATACATTTTTTTTAATTAATATGTATACTGATTGATGATTATACTATAAAAATCAAGTTGATAATAAGTGTGATTTGCAATTGATTGATTAAAATTTAATCATTGTCAATTAAATTTTATAATATACTACAAGATAAAAAAATCAATGGTCTTAACTTTTTGAAGTAGGAAGTGACACGTGTTTAAAAATACTAAGCACGTATTCTTATTATAAAATACCTGGTTAATAAAATTTACCAAAATGTGAAGGTTTACAAAACTAATGAGATTAGTTTAAAGTACACATTTAGCTCGATAGCAAACTAATGTTTATACTTATTTTTAGAATTTAAATTATATACTATTAGTATTACATAATGATGTATAAACATGTTATAATATTTTAAGACTTCTAAATTTGTGAAAATAAAATTGTAAAATAAGTATTATAGACTCATAATAAATATAATAAAGTTGACCATTATAAATTAAAAAAGTAGGTATTAAGTATTAAGTAGTAACAACATAATATATAAAGTAGGTACAATATCTATAGATATTAAATATTCATACGACATACACTAATACGTACAAGAGTTCATAGTATATAGCTTATAGGTAATTCATAAGAAAAACCAATTGAATACAAAATTTCTACAGAAATTAAACTCAAATCAATGAAATTTAAAATATTTAAATGATTTGTTGAAAACATAAGGCCAAAATCATCAAATTCAGTCCTGTCGGCTATATTTAATAACTCTCCATTTTTATTTAAGAAGCTTAGCAAGAATTTGATATAAATGATCACCAGTATGTAATGTTAAAAAAAATATAAAAATATGTGATGAATTTATCAAGGTAAGTTAAAAATTAAAATATGTTAATGAATTAATAATTTATATTTTATGCAAGCAGTTAAATGTAATAGTGTTATATTATTTTAGTCCCATAATATAATATAATAGTACCTATAAAATATTATTTGATGAATTTAATAACGTATATAATATTATGTGTTATATAACATAAACAAACTAATTATTTATAGATATGATCAGTTAATCAGTAATCTATCCAGAGGTATAACTTTGAATATTAACAATACTTACTTAATAAACTTTGCATAGTCTGGTTCTTTCCAATACAGTAAATATTTTAAATAATTAATAAAAGACTGATCCTTAAAGTATCCGCGTTGAGCTAAAACTGAACAGTTGAAAAATAAGAAATACATTTTAAAAATTATTTGTAAATATTATTGTTAAAAGTTAACTTACAGTTTAAATAATTTGGATTAGCTAAGCATTGTACAAATTCAAGTTCTACTTGAAACCTTAATCTGGTTTGTTCTTCAGTTTCAGGACCACCTGTGAAAGCAAAAATATGTTTGTTCAATGTAATAGGTAACAACACTAACTATATTGTAATCTGGTAATCTGGACTAGAAATATTTTTATTTATTTCACAATATTGTATCCACCAACTTTCACAAAGTAGCCTCTGCCTCAGACACTTATTATTAATCATTATTACCTTACAATATATATAAGAAATTAAATAATTTATATTTCCCATTTACCTTTGTTAGCCATTTTGGTTTAGTTAATTCTTCATTAGATTTTGGTTTATTGGGTTATTTAAGAAAATTGTCATGTCATCTCGCCACTCGGTCGAACGTCATAGGTATAAGCTATACAAATAATAGCAATTAGCAATGGTCTATCGACTATAGAAAGAATACTCTTTACTATCAGACATCAGTAGACAGTAGTACAGTATTGCAGTAATTACTAATTTCTAATATTGTAGAATAAATAAAAGTTAATTTTGTATTATTATGGTTACGTTTTGTAGTCTTCCGAGTTCTAGTTGTAACATAATAACTTATCAGTTTACAGTCTGCACCCTGTTGTGAGTGCCAATGAGTGAGACTCGTGAGAGTGCCGACTGCCGAGTGAGTGAGATAGAGTCAAGAGACGGAAACTCTTCAGTGTTGCCTCTTACTGACTATGTCTAATTGGGCAAATTGACAAACTGTTAAATTGATAATAATACTGCCCGATGCCCATAACATGGATAAGACGTCATAGAAATTATGTTTCAGAGAAACATAGTAAGATACGAAGATAATAAAAATAAAAAATAAAAATAATATTATATTAGTATGTACCTACCTATATAAAAATAAAAGATTAATGATTATTTGAGTTTTAAGCCTTAAATCCTAATTTATATTTTATATTTCAAATTTTTCAATCGTATTTTCATAAAATATTTTTACGTCCAATTATTAAATATCAATATTTTACATTTTCATAATATTGAAAATGTTAAAATGTTAAAATGTTTTAAATTATTCATTCCGATGTTTTCCTTTAATGTATTAATTTAAAGTTGAATAATGGTAGACAACACATTAACTGAAAAGGTACTGTTGGCTACTGGAGGATATGATCACACCATTAAGTTATGGCATGCAAATACGGGAGTTTGCAATAGAAGCTTAACACATTTAGATTCTGTATCCTTAAAAACATCATCGTAAATATTTAATCTTGCTATAAATCTGTTGAACTTTTTTGTCTAGATAAAAGTTGAATGAATCAAATTACAAAAAGTTTTAAATAAGCATAGGTATACATTATTTTTGTTCATGTAATTCGCGTGAAATAAAGTGTACCTAATATATGAAGAGTCATTGAATATTCTATGACTTAAACATTTGTATTAGTTTGTCTAACATGAATTTTTTTTAAATAATTGATGTGAATAGAATCCTTGACCAATTAATTTAGCAAGTAAATGCATTAGAAATCACACCCGACAGACAACTTTTAGCTGCTGCTGGTAATTTTTTAAATAATTAAATATCATCCTTATTTATGTACCTATTTGTGATATTTTGTTTTACAGGGTTTCAACATATTCGTATGTATGACTTAAATTCAAGCAATCCAAATCCAATTTTAAACTATGAAGGGATTTCAAAAAACATTACTGGTGTTGGATTCCACGAAGATGGTAAATGGATGTTTACATGTGGTGAAGATTGTAGTGCTCGAGTGTGGGATTTAAGGTAGGTACCAAATATGTTTTTAAATTACACAAAATAACATTTAGTTATAATACTGTATATAAAATAATACATTTGGTGCAGGTCTAGAAATTTGCAATGTCAGCGTATATTTCAAACAACTGCACCTATTACTAGTATATGCCTTCATCCTAATCAAGGCGAGTTAATATTAGGTGATCAGTCTGGCTTGCTTCATTTATGGGATTTGAAAACTGATCACAATGAACAACTTGTAAGCGTAATACATTAATGCTGTTCTTCAGTTTTAATTTTTTTCCCTTTGTAACTTTTCATAAGTTTAGATACCTGAAGTTGATGCTTCTATACAATGTGTGGCTATTGATTCTAGTGCAAATTATGTTGCTTCTGTAAATAATAAAGGAAACTGTTACCTATGGAGTTATAACGGCAATGGTACTAGACTAAGTCCAGAGCATAAAATGAATGCCCACAGGAAGTACGGTCTTCATTGTAAATTCAGTCCTGATTCAACGTAAGCATATAAAGAATTTTGACTTTTATTTTTTAATTATACTAATTAGTAATTTATTTATTTAATTGTAACAGATTGTTGGTAACAACTTCGGCTGATCAATCAGCTTTTATCTGGAAAACTAGTGATTTTTCTTTGAAACAAGAACTAAAAGATGAGAGACAGAGATGGGTGTGGGATACAGCATTTAGTAATGATTCAGAACATTTATTAACAGGTATTATTGGGAATATTTATGACTAATTAGAGCTATGGTTAATTTACATTAAGAATATTTATGGACTATAATTGGCATTAATTGTTGGCTGCCATTGGATGTAGTCTTATTAGTTATTACCAGGGCTCGTAAGTTCATGCCCTAAAAAATGCCTAGATAAGCATGCATTTATGCACTCAAAATTGGCAATATATGCATTGAAATATGCCTTAAAAAGTTAAAAAATATCTAAAATTATGCACTTAAAAAATATTTCCTTAAAAAAATCATAAATAATTTTTGAAATAACATGAATATCTATTCATTTTTTTATAGTTGTATTTTATTTTTTTATGGTACAATTTAAAAAAAATAGATTTTAAATAGATTATAAACTGTCTCGTTTTTTTTTTTTGTCAAATGTCGATTCTTTCATATTATTTCCATAAAAAAATGCATATTGATATAATAATATGAATAGGAATATCAAAATCATGCATAAAATACCCGATAAATTAAAAATATGCATAAATATGCCAAATAGACAATAAACCTCTAAATATGCAAAAACATGCAAAATAAAATTTCACATATTATTTAACTGTGGTATCTTGAAATGGATTTCTATGTCATCTAGCATTAAATACAACTTAGCAAGATTTATATGCAAATGCATGAACTTACGAGCCCTGGTTATTACCATAATATGTAACAACAGCAGTCGGACTGAACTGGACATTAATTGGTTGGCACTGAGAAGTAGTCTTAACGTAAATGGGCGGCACTGCGACAGTAATAATACAAATATTTTAAAATAACCTAACTATTATATTTTAATGCTAATCATATTTCTATGCATAGTGCCTACAGTTATATATTTATAATATGAAGATTGAATACATTACATAATTTTCTGAATTAAGCTTTCAGTGTTTAGTAATTAGTAATTATCTAATTAATTATGTGTTTTTAGTATCATTGAACTGTGGACCAAATTTTTTTTAAACTAAATATGTTATTGGTATTTTATAATATAAATCAATAACATAGAAAAAAAAAATATACTCTTATATTTTATTAATAAAAAGTTATTACTCTGTTTCCTGTACAGGATCTCTAAATCTATAATTGTAATTTTTGTGTGAACTTATAAGCAATAACTCATAAATCATCAAAACAGTCATTTTCATAAAATTATTTTTATTCAATTTTTGTCACGAATTAAGATATCTTAATTTGTGATTTTTGTATGAATGCACATGAGTGCACTAAGAACATTGAATAGTTAATTTAGATTATTGTTTTAATTCAGTTAATTAGTAAAGTATTGGTTCAACAACATGGATATTTATTATAGTAAAATAATAAAACTAAGTTTTATATTTGATTAACAGGTTAAATACATCAACATTTTTACATTATTTGGCAGTGCTATTTTTTTTACACATTTTATAGTGGATACATAATATTATACTTCATGATTTTCTTTTCTTATTGTTTAGCTTCATCAGATGGCATGGCAAGATTATGGAACGTAGAAAGTGGCAATATAGAACGTGAATATGAAGGACATCAAAAATCACTTACAGCATTAGCATTTTGTGATCCATATAGTTAGGTTTAAAAGTTATACTAGTTTTATAATCATGAAATAAAATTAGAAAAACAAAGACATGCATTTGTACCTCCAAAACCAAATGCATTTTTTATTGCTATTCTTTTTTCTTGTTTCCATTGCACTGGACTTTTAGAAACACAAATTAAATTCTCAGCTTCTTTGCAAATGTTGTTTAGATTTGCTGTAGGTGGAATGACACCTTCATAACAGGCGAGAATTGTAAAAATACTCTCTAAATTACCCGCAGATCCTAGTAAATGACCATGACTACCTTTTGTGGATGAAACATGTACATTAATGCAGTGCTCATTAAAAATTCTTTTAATTGCTTTTAATTCGATGGCATCTCCTACCGGAGTTGAAGTGGCATGTGCATTTACGTATGAAATTTGCGTCTTATCTACATTAGCATCTAAAATGGCTCTAGTCATGGCTAGATAAGCTCCTTGGCCATTTTCTGGTGGTGCTGTTAAGTGTGAAGCATCACCAGATAAACCATAACCCAGAACTTCTCCATAAATATGTGCGTTTCTATTAAGAGCATGTTCCAATTCTTCTAGTATAAGCATACCAGACCCTTCACCGATAACAAAACCATTTCGATTTAAATCGAACGGTCTTGATGCCAATTCTGGTTTGTCGTTTTGAGTAGATAGTGCCCGTATTCTACAAAAAGAAGCTATTGACAATGGGCTTATACATGACTCAGCAGCACCACAAATCATTGCTTTTGCTTGCCCATGCTGAATAAAACGAAAACCATCACCAATTGCATGGGCTCCGGTTGCACAAGCAGTAGATACAGCATGATTGGGTCCTTGTATTCCGTAAGCCATGCTTATTTGGCCAGCAGCCATATTGAGTAGAATGCGTGGCACAAAGTATGGGCTGACTTTACTGTAACTAATTTCTAAAGCTTTGGCTGTTTGACACACATCCTCTAAGTCCACCATTCCTACTCCTACACTGACACCGATATTTTCTTTATCGACTGTAGACAAAAATAATTTAGAATCATCAACTGCTTCTTGTGCAGCAATTAGAGCTAGACGAGTGGAAGGAGCCATTGTACGTACTTTGCTCTTGGGTACTGATTCTGGTAAATTCTCCAGTCCGTCCAGAGTAGCTGCGATTTTGGAAGGAATATTTTTGTAAAGGTCATTGTCCAATTTTCTTACAAATGATTTTCCCGACAAAACATTTTTCCAAGACGTATATTTATTGGCACCAGCAGGACAAATGGCACCCATACCAGTAATTACGACTCTTTTTTTCATAATTTGTATCTTATAACTCTCCAAAAAATATAGAATAATAAAATATTTACCTATTATAAAATTATAAAACAAAAAAATATTTTTTAATTCAAAATAAATAATGATAACTAATATTAATGTTATCAATTCTATCAACTGATACCAATAATACCCATAGATAATACCAAGTATTGTTCTGTGATAATACCAAGTATACCGAGGTATGAACAATGATGAAGTATATGAACTCTTCCCTCCCAAAATGTGCAGTCTGCACTCTCAGCACCAACCACGGTCCACAGTGGGTAATGGGTATTATAATAATAAATAAGACCAACCATGGCACATTATGTACAGTATTTTAAAATCTACTTTGTAGTTTGTAGGTATAGCAGTGCCCGACTTTTGTCTTGAGGGGTGGGGAGGGGGTACTCAAGGGGACGTAGTACAATAATTAACAATAATATCACGACTAATTTTTCAGACATTTTAGCGTACGCCGTACCCCTACTTTTATTTTTAAGGGTAGTGCAAGAGACGCTTCATCATTCCGCATTTTTATCAAAATGCTCGAGATACCATCATAATTTGTCTTATGGATACCTACCTACAGTAAGTACCTATGTCTCATATTAACTTGTATTTTTTAATTGATTAGGTACCTATTTATAAATATTTTTTATCTGATTTAAAAAGGGTACCTATTAGTGGGTGTGGGGGCATAGCCCCCTCGTCGCAATAACGTTTAACAAGAAATGGGGACGTTCTTTTTTTAAACGTAAACAGAGTCCTTTAATTTTGCCAAATCGAGCACAAAGGTATAGATGTTTATTACGCGGTGTACGGTGTACCCCTTCAGTTATATTATAATACCTATAAAGAGATTAGAGTGTTCACCTCCTTTTTCTTCTACAATACAGGATTTTTAAATTTTTTAAATATCGGTGGTAGGTACAGGGTACAACCTTGATTTATCCATGGGGGGGAGGTCTAAAAAAATGTATTTAATTACTTAAGTTTTCATGACATGTCAGGGAATCTTTAAAAAATAAAAAAAAATACTATGACAATAGTCAAGGGAGGGGAGGGGGGGTAACCGGACCCGGAGTCCACCCCCCCATGTTCGTCACTGGTAGGTACGTCTTAAAATACGCAGGTACCTAAAGTATTATATATATGAAAAAATTAAACTTTTAGATAACAAACATTATACCTATAGGTAGCAAAGTTCCTTTTTTTTTCAACATTATCATACTTGCTTTTAATTCTCAGCAAAAATAAAAGTCTAACTTGCTCAGCTTTTTTCATCGAATAATTTTACTTACATACTTACACAGTAGGTATCATTATATACACGTTTTTGAGAAACTGAGTGCAAAATTCACTTATTATAATACACACAAATAAATACTCATACTAATTACTATTCTCAACTTATCCACTGACCGAAAACTAAAACGAAAATAGAAAATTCCATTTAAATATTGTGTGTTAGAAATTGTATACACGATCATATGTTTGTCAAACATTTTAAAATTGAAAACGATGTTAATAAATCTACGTATTTTATGATTTTAAACGTAAATACATTTTTTATATATTAGCTTAGATATATAAAACGTAATTTGACATTACTTTTTGTGAATTCACGTATTTGTTTTTTATGGTTTGAACTGTGTGTTTTATTATTACTTTTGTTACTTATTGTTGCTGCAATTGGACCGTTTGTAATGAATTCTTATTATGTATATATACGGTCAGGTCAAAATTTCATATTACAAAAGTGTTTGGGATTTCACGAGAATCATAATATGAGAATGTGATGTTCACGTTTTTGCAATACATATATTTTATGATCACGGTATAGTGTATACTGTATACACACATATTTTATAAACTTTTGTATTTTCAATGTAATTTACAAAATGGTATAATGTACTTTTACACCAGTTTAATATCATTTTGCGCCAAATTGATCATGCATCTGATATTATAATGTTTTGATTATAATTGTTTGATATTAAAAATATATAAGTTATTAAACATCAGTATAGATCACTAGGTCAGTGTAGGTATCACATTATGAATTTTATATATTTTTAATTATTTATTAAATTTAATAACAACCATTAATGTGACACAAATAACAAACACATAAATAATGCTAATGGTTATAAACTTATAACTTAAAAGGTATCTTACTAATTAACGTCGAATTGTAAATGTTTAATCATATATAAAACAGATATATTTATAGTCGTAAATGGTAAATCGTAACGTATATTACATACAATCAATGCACGATGAAACACATTTTATTTTACTGTTATAATATTAAAATAAATAATAATGTATAAACAAGATGAGAAGTCTTATGACAGTTTATGTGTAATGAATTTTCGAAGCATTAAATGTGTTAATAGATTATAATATTATAATTTACATGTAAATAGTACTTACCCTTACATTTTTAAATATTATTATTTTTACGATAATTTGTACATATTTTAGATTTTTTTTTTGTTTATTTTGTCATGAAAATTAATAATGTAAAAACTTTAAAAACTTTCATCACACTACTTATTTTGTAACATATTGCTTTGGTCCAATTAGTTGTTTAACACGTACAATAATCTAACATAAACGATTTTATACTGATTATTTGGTAATTACTAATTTTTAATTGGTACCTACTTACCTACCTACCTACATACATACAAAAAAAAACTATATCAAGTGAAAGCTTAACGTAAGCAGTTATAGGTAGGTAGGTAGGTTCAAATACGCACAATTGTAGGTACGCAAAGTCAAAAAGTATAAATTACATCAATAGGATAATAATATTATAGGCGTATTCTGTATAAGATAATAATATTTTATAGTATTACTAATATATTGCTACAGGACGGTCGTATATACAATATATATACGTAATATATAATATACAATATATTTTATTTCAAAACTATAAACATTTTTCAATCGTACAATTATTAGATAACACGGAGTGGTCTGTTATAGAATAATTTTATATTATAATTAAATATACTGTGAACATATTATTCTAGTCGTATCAACTGTAAACATTATTTAATATGGTGGGAAATAATATGATAAATTATACGTAACATTACATCGAACAAACTTGCACATCAGATTATTTCATTATTGCTAAATAGATATTAATATTATTTACTATTAAGTTTCATACTATAATGATACATTTGAAAATTTCTATCACCGTATTAGTTTATTGATTAAACTACCATAGTATTAAGCGTGTCAGAAAGATTTTGTACTTTGTTTTCGACTTTGCAATTTGAAAACAGTTTTCAATCTGCAGATGAGAAAAACCATAACATTTTTTTTTTTAAGACGCTTAATTTTATTTATCTTTAATACAATCACTGTTCGTTTCATTCGTTTATACAATCAGTATTCGGTTCATACTTGACGCAATTATTGACGAAATATTTACGCGCTTAAACTTATCTCGATACCTAGTACAGAAGTTGCATACATAATATATATACTAATGCTGTCGTTGTAACAAGGTGAAATCTCATACCCACGACACCTCACGTCATACTCGATCAATGTACACATCTGTTATGTATTGTGGTACCAACAGCAGATGTGCAGATCAACCCATCAATGATAAAACTATTTAAGCAGATTTGGCAGATGACTACCTACTACACATATAGTGCCCCGCGATGATAATCCATTAAATACTTCATCTAATCTGTAGGTAGGTACAGGGACACACATTAACCCACTTGCACCCTCTTATTGGTTTAACTCTGTCTCAGAGAATTTAAGTTAACGAAACAAAATCTGTACAAACACAGTTTACTCCACCGAAATTCACTTAAACGGGACTACCACCAACACCAATGATATAAGCAACTCGCTAACACAGAACCTATACATACATGGAAACACATATAGACAAACGATTATGTAATATGGGACACGAGCATGTTAAACTAAAATGCTTACCAACGTAAATACTTACTAACTAATAACATCCTTTCCGGCATAAATTCAGTTTCCGAATAACAAAGATACAATATTATTATAAACACACACACGCAATACACGCACTGCTAAAGCCTAAAACCAAAACATGGAGATATTATGATGGCCAATAAGGTATAGGTATATAAAATTAAACATATTATTATTAGCTAAGTGCATTTAATTACCACGATTTTCAATCGTACAATAATATAACATGATGATAAACATTCCTGTACAATATTGTTCACACGGTACCTAGCTACATATTAACATGTAGTATATTGTACGAAACTGTCAGACGAGTTCTATATGACTTCTCTATCTTGTAGATATATTTCACGAAAAACTTCATAATCATCACACTATTTCATTATGTGTAATATAACAAATATACATACCCCTCGTAGTTCTTTTTATAGAATATATGACTAAAAATGATACAGTCAATACAGAGTCACAGATGTGGCCAATCATCATCTCTCATTTGTTAATTATTATTACTTGTGATGCCTATAATACTCATTCACTCTCTCTCGCCATATGCGTAGATATGATTTTTTTTTGAGAGAGAGTCAGAGAGAGGTCTAAACAAGCCCCTGTGGCACCTAGTCTCTCACTAAGGGTCAAAATGTATGAGTTTCAACAGAAATATCTGTATTTTATAATTTCACAAGTCATATCTTATACAGTACAAAATCTGAATTTATTATAACAGATTACCGTGTACATAAAATAAACCTCGTAAACACATTTCCATACGTAGCATAGACTAATTTACGATAGTGTTTAATGATATTTTGAGTTGGGTATATAATATTTACATTCTAAATTTAAGAAGTAGTTACTTTTATAAATGAGAAAAAAGGAAATATTTTTCTTTAATTATTTTAGGCCAAAAATAATAGTTACATCTATTTACTTGAGTTTTTTGTGTTTGTAATCATTAAAATATTTAATCTTTATATATTATTAAAACGTGAGGCGATTTCTTATGACAGTTATATCTGAAGTTCTACTGAACCGATTTTCATGATTTTTTTTTCTAACGAAAGTACTCGGTGTGTAGATGAGCCATCAAAAGAGAAAAATCCAAAAAAATAATTATTTAAATAGTTATTAGTAGTATTAAGTTTGCCGTATTGTTACATAGCGGCATTCGTTGACGACGCCGGCTGCCGCCGATATAACCACCACTACTCTTACGTCTACTGCAGTACTGTAGCATTGTCGTCTTCATCGTCGGCGGCGATGTACATTTATTATATTTTATTCTGTGGCAGGGTGGCATTGTGCACTTAGTCGTCGTTCGTTATCGTCATCGTCGTCGTTGAATAAAAAAGTAAAAACCAACTATTTTCAATTTCCTCATTTCGCGTACAGCAGAGAACGCTAACTCATTAAAATTATTATTATATATTATTATTATTAATATACATTTAAAATGGAATAACTATAAAAATGTGAAATGAAAATCTCTGTACAAACTCTGGAACTATTTATTAGATATTCTTGATTTTTTTTTTAAACGTAAGAGTATTTTACGGAGAAGGTTTATATAAAAGAAAATTTGAGGAAAATCCACCGGTGTATAATATATTGGTTGCTATTGGTTAATTGGGCATGTTTGTTGATTTGTATAATTATCTTTTGTCAATATACATATATAAATATATAATATATACAAGAAGATCTGATAAGTAGTTCCAGAGTTTAGTCTGTATAGTTATAGTCTGTGTATTTGTATGTCAGATATATAATATATAAATTAATGTTTGTGGGTAGATAAGAAGATAGGTTAATTTACAAAGGGTTAAATTTGTTTTTTTTATTCATCAGATTTTAGAAGGGTAAGGTTAGGATAGGATTTTGTATAAATTGATTATAATAATCTACAGTAGGTGAAATTAAGTAAAAAAGACAAACTTGGTATAACATTGATACTTTAGAGTTGAATCATACACTTATGTACAAACTGCTCGGGGTCCGTGATCTACAGCAGGTAGATTGCCTGCTTGATAATGTACTGCTGAGAATCGGAATTTTTATTCGGGGCAACAGAAAAGTTAAGATAAATTTTGAACATCACACACCGAATATTAAATAACGAATTGTACAAAGTTTGAGTCATATAGAGTTGATACATTTAACGGGCAGCGCAGTGCACGGGATCAGCTAGTAATATATTAATATAAGTACACAACAACATAAACATGTATTCGAACTTGAAAACATAGTAAATTTACGTGAAATAAGAATGCTCAATTTAAATATTTTTAACGAATGAGTAAAAATAACACATAAATAATATAATATAATATACATAATACACACTTTCTTATATATTAGTATAAACATGTAGATTAATTATTTTAACTTAAGGACTCACAATTTTGAAAATTCAAAAGACAATTATTTATAATTTTGTTAATTATATTTACATAATATGAGATGGACAGACAATGAATAATAAAATCTTTTATTGCATTCTCTCGTAAATTACCTATTTTTTAAACTTGTTTGGTCTGTCAAAAGCGATTTAAACTGCAGGATTTAACTCAGATATACAATCAAAAGATAATATTATTATTCGTCATTCACATATACGATTACAACTTACATTAACCATCTGAAGTCTAGATTTGAAATATTACTTATTACAAAATGTTTTTAAATAAATAAGAGTTTAATTGAATTTGTACAATACCATATATTTATATCGTTGTAAAGTGAATATTAAAAAAAAAAACTGAATATAAAATGTTTTGAGTAAGTAGGTAGTTACTAGTTAATAGATATTTAGTTTGTTTGTATTATTGATTGATTAATTAAATTGCGTATCTATGGCCTATGGGTAATTACTTTTATATTTTTTTTGTCATACTTCCTAACAAGTTTAGTGTATTATATTATATAAAATATAATTGATCATTTTAATAAATTATTATTATCGTAGGAGGATTAGTATTTTTAAATGTAACTTGCATAAATCTATTTTATTACATAACATGTAAGCGAGGAAACAAAATAGGGTTTTTTCTATGCAAAACGTTGCACGGTTTAATATTTGTTTAACAAAAATAACACTGCATCGACGGACGGATCTGAATGGCTATAAATATACAACCGATATATGTATATTGTGATTTACTATTTAAAAAAAGTTTTTTTTTTATTGATCTTGGGGCTCTGCAACTATGGCCCTTAGCTATTGCAGATGTTACGGTTGGAACGGTTGGAATGGTTGGTTTTCAACCCATGTATGTGTGACAAGGATTTGCCACTAAGCACCCGGGGAGGTCACCCATCCAGGAACTAGTGGAACCGGCCAGTGCTGGCACTCAGAGCACATCAGTGACTGAAGCCAGACACAGTGTTAAAAAAATAAGTTTATTATTTTTATTTTCATAAACTAAAAATGTCTGAAGGAAGGTTTATAGATTAACTGTACAATATTATGCTGTTTAACCACTTTACGTTATAAAAGAGGAAAGTTGAAACAAGTGTGTCTCTGATTAAATATTTAATTATTTCATGCTAAACTTTTCGCATTTGTAAAAATAGGTCACCAAGTGCCAAATTAGGAAATGCAGAGTTTTTTCATTATTAATTATTTACGACAGTAAGAGGTAACTTAACACGATAAAAAATAGTTTTTCCTTTTATTTTTTTGATATAAAATATGAATTTTAGTCTTGACTAGTATAAAAACCTCGGTTGTATTACAATAACAGAATTACATTAATATTCTAAGCAATAATTATTTATGTTTAATAAATTTTTCGTTTTTATTGGATTCTGTGAGGTCATATTATTGTAAATTGCGTTTGTTAGGTATTACAGAAATACGCAAACGAAGTATGAAAATCTATGATCGGGTTGCGGAGTGAAAAACGGGACTAATATTTATAATTTTATTGTAATTGTAATATTTGTACATTTTATACTATAATAAATAATAATATTGTTGATTGTTATGCTATTATATTTTTTATGAACGCGGGGGCTGTTTGGGTTGGCGACGACGAGACTCGACAACAGTCAGAGATTTGTTTAATTATTTAAGGAAAAGGTCGCGACACACTGCGCGCTGTCACACCGCACAGACCAACAATGAAATATTGTCAACGAATATATTATATAATAATAATAATAATAATAATTATTATTATTAATATTATAATACAAGATAGAACTACGGTCTTTCACCGTGCCATCAATAAAATCACAAGTGTCTAGAGTCACCGCCGCCAATAATATATTGTGACTGTGCTGAAGGAATTTTTGGTTTAAGTTTTGAATTCACTCCATTGGTGACCACGGGAAACGTTTCATTGGCACTATTGTAATATTATTATTTTCTCTTACCCTGAACGGTAAAAATATTATAATATATTGTGTAGGCATAATAATATGTGAACAAATAATAATAATAATAATAATATAGTCGCCGGTTGAGTACACACACAGCAGTGTTTAGATCTGCCGGGAGTTTAGCAGTGTTTTGCTAATTTTAAATGACATATTATCCACCTGCACCAGCGCTTATCTAGAAGAACGATTTTCTCTCTACATAATAATATTATAATATAATATTACATAGTTTATTTGAACATCAACTCTAACCGGCTCGGTTCGACGTGTCTGCACCTTTTGCACCATCACCTCTTGTTTTTATAAGTCGACACTCCTATACACCCGTTTTTTGTCTGTCCAGTGCTCCGGTGCAGATCGTCGCGTATATCTTCGGGGAGAAAAATTAGCTATATTATAGGTATACACATACATTAATTCTTTTTATCATTCTATAGAACGATTTGTTCGGTACGACAACCGTTGCCACCACTGCCGCCACTGCCGCCGTTGTTCTGGAGCAGAGCTATGGTGGCCGGATTCATGTAATGCACTTCGGAAACGTTGCTGTAGTTGTACATATTCTGCTGGCCGAAAGCCGCGGTCGCCGTGGCCGTCTCGTTGCGCGACTGCTCGTACCGACGGCGCAGGCACGGCGGACACCAAGGTGGCGACTTGGGCCAGCAGCTCTGCAGCGTCTTCTGGAACGCCACCCGGAACTCTCGGTTGAAGTACGCGTAGATGAGCGGGTTGAGGGCCGAGTTGAAGTAGCCCACCCAGAACACGAGCACCGTCACCCACCGGGGCATCCACGAACCGCCTTCCAGCAGCGAGCTCATCATGTACCTGCAGCAGACGCATTCACGAATTGATGAGTTACATGGTATATATATATAGATGACAATGTTATGAAGTACCTGTATACGATTTTATTGCAATAACTAATAATTATTATTATTAGGATTTTCATATATGAGACAGGGAGAGGGGGGTAATGGTGCACTTTGAAAAATAGATCCGGAAAAAGGTTGTCTACCAACACCTGGAATAGGTCCCACTCCCACTCACAACATGATGCAACTCTCAAACACGGTAGGTATGTATAACTCGGAAAAGGTCAAAATGAACAATATTTACACCATAATATTAGGTACCTATATTATTATAAATATGAAGCGAAATTTGAAAATAAATCTTTATTTCTTCTATTCTATTTCTTTGATATTACCCAGGTAGGTAGTGTTTTGTATATTTAAAATTAATTATTTATCAAAATATTTAAATTATTATGTGATATGATACCCAAAATGTGAGTTTCGTCGTGAGAGAATATTAGAGGGATGGTTATTAGTTTTGTATACCTACGCTTTAATTCATTAGGTATCTAGTATTATAATATTATGTTAATGATGAATTTATTTTCAAGCAATTATTTGATAAACATATGGGCACACGGGAAGATGTTAAATGGAGGAATACCAAATTATATCGAAAATATCAACTAAATATTTGTGCTCTTTTATAAAAAAGAAGCGGTAAGTTTATTCTGCAGGAAATGTAATTGGGAAAGACTTTCGAAATCACTTAAATGGTGAAACGAGTAAACTTAGTTCATCGATTTAATCTCGAAAATATACTCAACATTCAAAGGCGATTATTTGAAATATTATAATTTATAACAAGTGGACTTTTAAAACGTAGGAATACGTTTTGTATTTTGTATTATTTATATTTACTAACTGTAGTAAGCAAAACAATTCAAATGTATTTTAAAACGTTGCAGATGTAGAAAATGGAAAGTAAACTGAAATATTTTTAATATTAATTCAATAACATAATTTAAGGGTGACTGATGGAGGGGAAGAATACATTATCTAATAAAATAAATGTCGATAAAATAACGAATATAAAAGATTCATATTATTTTTTTACTGTTTTTTCATTGCATTAGTCATGAAATATGTATGAAACCTACTTCTTATTTGAAATTTGTTGTGTTCTACGCTAACCAAGACAACAAATATTTTGCACACTTAGGATGCCACCAAACGAGTGAAATATGAGTGAAAGTGTGGTGGGCCACTGTAACTTGAAAGCAAAAAACTCCGCTCAAGTTCTAAAGTATGAAAAAAAATAATAATATACACACGCACGCACATTATAATGATAGCGGTGCTTGATAATTTATAATCACGTCGTGTCGTAGCCGTTTCTCCGCTTCTTTATCCTCACGGGATGATTTGGTAAAAAGAGGACAATAATAGAATCTGAACATTAAAAGCAAACGTATGTGGAATATCAGACGTTATCTATAAGTAAGTTATTACTTTTCGTAAAATTCAAACCTCAATCAAACATCTTGTACCTACACAGTGTTGCAACGCTGGAGGTATTTTTGTAAAGGAAAATGTGGTTTACGCTGCTACGATAGCCTTTAGAACAATTATTATTATTATTAATGATAATACCTACGTTTTTATTCCGTTTTCATTCATGCAGTGGAAACAAAACGCCATTTAAGAGTTTATAGTAGGTATATCGTATATAATATATTATACATATATTATAGTGTCGTGCAAGTATGTAGGTACTGGTTTTGAGCATTTAATGAGGAAGTAGATAATATCAATTGTTATCCGCATAAGACTTACACGTCTGATAAACCAAAACGTATATTATAAACGGGGGTAAGCATTTTCGGCCAAAATGTACCCTTTCCTTTTCGGCCACTTTCCCTTTTCGGCCAGCACCTACAGTTTTCTTTAAAATATGTAATTATATATATTATATATAGGTAACAACTGAACTTAACAATTTTTATATTTAATTAAATATGATTGTATTCAAAAATATAATTTTTTGATAAACATTATTACCTACAACTGAGTGAAAAAATAATAAAATAAAACAATTGGCAATAAAATGATTTCAGTCAAATAAATTACCTAAAAATTAATTAGATTTTTAAAAATCAAAGCTTTTATAAACATACTCCATCCATAATGAGCTGGTTATCTGTCCTTATTAATGAAGTTCAAACAGATATATACATAAAAATGAGAAGTATGTATTAACATTTTAAAAACTCCTCGGGATGCAAAAAATGTGGAACGACAACGAAGAAACGAAGCTTACATTAAAGGATATAAAAATAGTAAAATATGTCGTTACAAATTTGTAAAGCAAATATCATATAATTATAAAAAGTGAATTTTACTATCATAATTATTTTTTACATAGGTGTTATAAGACTATATTAATTTTTTTTCAACTAATGTAAGTAATCGGAAATCTTAATATTTTGCAATCTATTCATGAATATTTTATAATAATATAATATAACATAGGTAATCAACTGTAATAATAATAATATGCCAATAATTGTATTATTTTTTATTTAATAAAATATAAAAATTGTTAAGTTCAGTTTTTATAACTGTAGGTGTTATAACTTAGCAACTGTAGGTGCTGGCCGAAAAGGGACAGTGGCCGAAAAGGGAACGGTAAGTTTTGGCCGAAAATTGACACTGGCCGAAAAGGGAAGGGTATACTTTGTCCGAAAAGGGGGCCGCTCTTATAAACATACCTAAGCTAACTGGGAATAATAATTTATCTTAGTTTAGAATATTATTATAGGTCTTGACCACCTGGAAATCATTTTATCCTAACATTTTTTTAATTAAAATTCCCTCGGTTTTCGTCTATACGTTTTTAAAAATCGTATTACCGTCGAATGGGTTTGTTTTGGAAATATAAGTATTACAAGTAATGTTGTACTTGTTTAAGAGGTAAGTAAATAAATAAATGAACTTAAAAAACAAAAAAAAGTCTGGATTTTTCATTTGGTTGACTTGCTTTAATAATATAGATAACTGCACCGGCTGCGTAAGGGTAAGGGTCAGGTTATTAATGTTAATGTCAAGAGTGTTATCTAGAGGGAACATAAAATAAATGGTACACTACTAATCGGCTGTTTAACTTTTAACTAGTAGCTAAAGTTTACATTTGTGATCGATAAGAATTTAGAGAAAGCTATGCTGTATATATAATACAAAACACAACACATTTTATTTTGTTCTTACATCTTTTATTATATATTTTTGTTTTTAATGCCCAACTTTTGAGAAATGGACATGGCAAAAAATGAAAAATCCATTTGGAAATATTAATCTACATCATTATGTGTTTTGTTTATAAATGGTATATAGCGTGAATAAATAAAAATAGGATACTGGAAAATTGTGTTTCTACTTTAGCGTACATTTTATGCGTTGGCTGATGTTTTTTTTCCGTATAGTTTTACTGATATTGGCCTAGAACAAGTTGTCAATAACGAGTGTTCGCGCATTGATGTTAAACAAATTCGATACCAAGTTCATTGAAGTGAAACGTCGAATCAACACTGAACACGGGAAATCGTTTTTGCAGTGATGTGCAGTGATGAAGGTAAACAGTAGAGGTAACTACAAAAAACACACGAAAATCGATAGCATTTATTTTTAAAATAAAGTGAATAGGTACGTGTCACGTGTTAGGCCTCGAGTAGCAGATTTATTGATTTTACTATATCTAAAGTGTGAATTTTTCTTACAAGAATAATTATTTTTCACTAGTTGAAAAACTTACAAGTCTCAACACTATAAATTAGAACCGAATTTAGTTGTAAAAATGTCAATGTTGTAGAGAAAATAACGCTAACTGTGAAATAAGCAACCACATTAAAACACTTGATCGTTTTTCGGGTAAACTGATATCTGTTCAGAATGATTTCTAAATTAAATAATTTATAATTGCTTCACCGCTTGTAACATGCACTTCAGTGGTTAGAGAAATGGGATCACGTGTAAATTCTAAAAGCCGTTAGAATATCAAATGGCTATTAAATAGTTAGTAGGTAAGTACTTAATGAATAATAAATCATTTTTTTCATTGAATCGACATTGATACTGCACGCAAAGAAAATAATATTATAAAAATAGTACTACCTGATAAATGTATTGCACAGTAGGTGTGAAAAATGGAAATGTACCTATATTGATTTCTTGACGTACATACCTATACTCAGATATTTAACTCTCTATTTACATTATAATATGATACCTATATATTTTTATACTAGTTTAAACTTTATTAAAATACGATTCTGAAGCTTTTGTACTTATAAATATACGTTTATAATATTTTTTACGAGGTAGACTTAAAAAGAGATGTCTAAGGTTTAACGAAATTAATATGCAGATAATATCACATATTATTATGTGGAGTGGCGTGTGAGGTATGATGGTGTTCGGTGTGATGAGATATGGGTCGGGTGGCCAACTTAATATATCTGAAATGAGAGAGGTGGTGAAGGATATAATATTTTTTGACGTGGGATCCGAAACTCAAATGCTGTATTTCAATAGTTTTTGTATAAAAAAGTGCTTCAAGTGTTCTGAACTAATCGAGATGAAATTTTATATTTTAAAAATAAAAATAAGAGGTTTCCGTTACACAACCCTTAGCTATTAATTATTATTATATATAGGGGAGGTATATACAATATGTGATATTTCCTAGTTTAAGTACCTACTGATATACTACTATATCATTAAAGTTTTATAATATATTTGTTGTAATTATAAGATACCTAGTAAATATGTAGTATTATTTAAGTCACAACGCTGGTACTGGTACATAAAAAAACCCATTGTAATGGAGAATATAGTATGGTCGATACTGTATTAGCGTATACCTCTACAACTTTTTTCATTAATTTGGCTTGGGCTACAAGCGCGTATATATATAACAATTTTTTTTACGGATGTTCAATGAATTTTGTTGTTAGTTGTTGCTTACG